ATATATATATAGCCTGGAATATATGCATAGCCTGGATACAAACCGGACACACATCTTTCTAATTTATGACTGGACTTGCATGAGTTATTAAAAGTTATGCCTTGCCTTAAATATATCTGTCGTTATTTTGAGAGCAAATATTTTACATCTGCACTACCAAATATATAGTATTAGTCTAGCACTACCCTCATATATTCAAAAATTAGGTCAATAAATCGCCTAAAATGTTCATGATTTTCCTTCAAATGTTCATCAGTTCGGCAAAATTGCTGAAATATAGAATTTTTTTAAATTAATAAATCAAAAACAGGAAAAAAAACTATTGAATCAAAAAAGTTCAGTGATGTAAATCCTTGAATATACCTCATCCTAGCAGTGTGGATTTTCAAAATTTGTAAACGACCGGCTTCATCAGGTAATGAAATTTCCATTTGCACTTCCATTCGACCTGGACGTAACAACGCTTCATCGATCATATCTTTTCTGTTTGTCATACCAATTACAAGAATGTTATTCAGCTGATCAACACCATCCATTTTAGCTAACAGCTGGTTAACCACCGTATCGTGTACCGCTGTAGAACCGGCCTATATACTAAGTGTGTCAGAAATTCATTAAAGTTGAACATTTCTTCGCGGATATAGAAACAATGAACCACCTACACACGATCAATGGAAGAATTGAAGTAAAGGGTTAAATAACTAATACAAATGCTTTCATCGAAAAGATAAGGAAAGCAGTCAGCAGTAACGGTGACATCCTGAATAAGACTGCACACAATATGCGGACCATTCAGGAATATTAAGTGATGAAATTACCTTTCTCAGCTGAATTTCAAAATAAAATAAAACCTTATACTGAACAGGAGGATTTTCAACAAAAAGAAAAAAATGCTACATACCACAGAACCACGCTGCTTACAAATAGCATCGATTTCGTCAAATATAATTATGTGCAATCCTGAACTAGCACCACATCTTTTCCATTCTTCCTCGGCATCAGCAAACAGCTTTCGGATGTTCGATTCCGACTCGCCAACATATCTATGAATAAAAACTTAACTAACTAAGTCTGTTAGCTTTTGAATTAAGATATTCCTAATTTTGATCAATTTGATTAGTACTGATGAAAAGAACAGTCTAAAACTTCATCAACATGATGGATTAAATAGATCTCACTTATCTAGAATTTGTGGTCCATTGATGATCTTAGGTTCCCGAGCATTCAGCATTTTCCCAATTTGACGAGCCATTAACGTTTTACCGGTTCCTGGTGGACCATAAAGTAAAATACCTCTAACATGCTTCATGCCTGAAATTATGCACTTGAAGTACGCAACCATTTTAATGAATATCAAATTCTTGGCACCTTAACGACAGTTACTTATCAAGTAATCTGAATCCTGTAAAATCACTAATATGAAAAACTGTTCACATCCTGACCTAATTGCTCAATAAATTCAGGTGGAAAGACACGTGAAGCAAATGCTCTTCGAAAAATGCCGGAAAATTCCTTATCCAAACCACCAATCCCCATTTTCTGAAAATCCCAATCTGGATTGATGATGGAACGATACGCTGACTTCCTGAAGAAAAAAGATTTTCGGGTATAATTTGAAGGCCTCAAATTTTTTGAATTTTACTTTCTTAGTTTTCAAAAGTATCAGAAACAATACCCTTTGCTCTTTCCGACCAAATTTAACAACGATTCCTCCGCTTTATCGAAAACAATAACAGAGTTTGGCAAAAGCTGCCCTGCATCAATCTGCAAAACATGAGATTTAAACGATTTCCTGATATTTGCTTAAGAGAAATAATGAATATCTGACAGGCTAAATTCAACACAACCACTAAAACAGATAGCCTTTAACCTCAATGGGTTTCAAATTAGCGACAGCCTGTGGATTTGTAGCCAGTGAGAGGTCGATACCTGAAATTGAAGCAGTAATAAAAGTGGGATAAAAGTTTAAAATTTTGAAAACTAATCAATATCAAATCAGTTATCCGATAATCAGTTATCCGAGCTGTAAACAATCAAAGGGAATATACTACAAAATAATTCGAATCACAGTATTGACAACGTTGCAGATCGTATACTGCCGAATGATATTTGATTATTCAAGATCAAAAACAAAGTAACTAACAATGGGAAAGAAATTTCAAGGTGGGAGATTTCTTCGTAATATAAGAACTTAGAATGGGTAGTTTAACTATCATTAATGCATTAATATGACTGACAGTAATGTATTGAGAAGAGAGTGATCACGTTATTACGATGATGTTAAAAGCAAAAAGATTTCAATCTTGTTTTTATCTAAGGATCTCTTTATCATGCAGGAAATCTCTTGCGTGATGAATCGTCTATAAATGACGACAGCCGTAAATCCCTGGTTAAATTCTAAATTACTTTAGTTACACTAATTCTATAGAATTAGGTCAGTCTAAGAATTGGCAGTTTCGAGATATTAAGATTACATTATGGAAAATGTAGCAAACATTCAAAAGCCTACGAGATCTTCTACTGCATATGTAAAAACAGGCAGAAAAAGTGCAGTATTCATCAGAGATGGAAGAATAAAAACTATACAGATGACAAAAATGACATTGTAGTTTTGAAATAAACCTGCAAAAGACTTATAAAAGATGGCAGAACAAACGATTACCTGACAGTAAGCGTAAGATGAGATCTTTCTGATTAACTACTAAATGGATAATTAAGAAAACTTCAGTTCTGTGGAAAATTCAACTATCATGTTGGGAGTTAACGGAACGAAATTAAGATTATTGACATGTTATACCAAACTCCGAAAATTAAACTGAATATCTGAATAAATTCAAATTTACTTACCAAGTATTGATGTCACTGTTAAAGCCAAAGTATGTGATTTCCCTTTATCATCATCAAATTTAAATACCAATAATTCACCACGTGTAAATGCATGACCAGAGAACTGGATAGAAAATTCACGGGCCATAAAATCTGTATTTAGTGGTTCAGATGTTTGACTGAAACAATATCATAAGCGAGGTTTCGAGTTTTTCGAATGATAAAGTTTGTAGCAAAGTGTTGCACACATAACATTAAATATAAAGTAATAACCTAAACAAAAAATGACATCAAAAACCAGTAAAAATTACTCGCTACCTAATCTCATTGATAAAAAAGAATTTCTGTTCTGGAAATGGTTATATATACTATGATATGATTGACAGAACTGCAAAGAATTATGATATTACAGACGAATGACAGGAAATAATGATCGAAAAGAATTTTAAAAAGTCATTTCATATATGAATAAGAGGTAATGATGACGTTTAATAATGTTGTGAATTCATTTATAAGTTATAACACACTCACAGAATCAATAATGAAATCTGCGAGAAACAATAAAACGTTGGCAATAAAAGATCAGAAAAAAAAAAGAAAAAATTGATTACGATGCTATCATTTTTACAACAAAAACAAAAATCATTATAACTTCTGTAAGAACGGCGAATAAATAATGACCAAAATAATTTGAGCAATTTAAAGTTTTGAAATTTTAAAAATTCCTTGTTGGATAAGCTTACTTCTTCTTTGACTGAAAATCAGCAGCAAAAGTAATTGATCCGATGAACTGATTGTTATTGAAACTGAAATGTTGCACTTCCACTTCCTGATCCAATGATAATTTCGCCCATTTACGCTGAGGAAGAGCGAAAGCAATCTCATCATTCTTTAACGATGGATGTTTCCGAACGGAAAAAATGAAATGATGAGCAGGACCAGTCTTTACCAGTATATGCCTGAGTAAATTAGAAACTACAAAATATAGATTTTCAGATGCTAACTTTTCCATTCTTTCTTACTATTCCATTCATTATATTCTTTACTAATTTTCAACACCAAATATAACCATTTCACTCTTATTAAACAATAAATAATCACAACTTTTAGTAGATTTTCTTACATGCGTAACCATTCAAAGATACTTCGGGTATCTCTGCATTAGGGCAAAAACATGCTTTACATATGACCTCTGACATTCTTCAATTATAGCGGCTAAAGTATGGTTAGGTTATTAAGAGTATGCACTATTCTCTTCATAATAACCTCTTCACGCTTATGGTAAAGAATGAAAGGATAAAATTACTTACTTAATTTCCATTCCATTCAATGCATTGGCATTTAAAATTGCACAATTTGTTAATGCTAAATCATCTGTGGGACATTTTCGAACTCGCATTTTCATCATCATTTTTGATTCTGAAATACAACAGAAATATTATTTTAATTTTATACTTTCCATTTCTTTTTACTGATAAACACAAAAGTAAATTTATTCCTTTATAATACTTAGCTTGTAATATTTGATTTTACCAATCCCTTCTACATGTTTCATAAGCATTATAAATATCACATGTATAAGTATCACATACATAAGTATCACATTAATTTACCACATCTATACGTATGCACGTATGCATGTCTTTCAATGTCTTTCACGTATGCATTTTTCATGTTAATTAACTATTTTCCAATAAATCTGTCTAAAGTGTTATCTTTACGCAATATTTATAACGTACAAAGTTGTTATCTTTATAAAGTTCTTTATAAATGCAATCTTAATAAAGTACGAAATTGTGGCGAAGTTCGCATAAAATTGCGGCGAGGTTCGCATAAAGTTGCGTCAAATCAGTACAAAAAATTAAAATAAAAATTGAAGGAAGAGAAGCATGGAAAGTATAAAGGAGAAGGTGAGGAAGTAAAACGATCAGAGAAATGAGTTACAAAGAAAAACATGGATGTCATCAAATTTTACAATTCGTAAAATCAAGAAATAAGTCAACGTTCAAAAAATTAATCATAAATGGGCTTAGGAGCAAATCGCTAAAAATTAACCAATATAAATTGATATAAACAGTGAATGATTTGATAGGATTCATAAGATAGGATAAGATTTGATAATGAGATTATCTTTAATATACCTTTCCACCACTTAGCTTATTATCAAATTAGCTAATTATCAAATTTGAAAATATTTTGGAAATAATTTTTTTATGTTTCAAGCTTAGATTCTAACTCTTCCATTTAACCTCATATACCGTTAGCAATGATATTGGTAATTGTTGAGATAGGATTATTCAAATTTTTAGCTAACTAAAGCTAACAATACCACCAATCGATGAAGTGTAAAAGATTTTAGTTTAGCTAATTAAAATGATTCATTATTTCTATCTTCATTTCATTACTATTTTTCGTCATTTAAATTTATTAATTCAGTGGAAAAAATTTGATGATGGTAATATTTGAAGAGGAATTGAAGAAATGGAACAATTAATTAATGATACAAGGTTTAATCCATCATTTATAATTATAAATGATGAAAATGAATTAGAAGAGAAGGGCTATTAAGTTAATTAATTACTCAGCCCTTATTACATTTTCAAAGAAGAGAAAAGAAAAAAATGAAATAAACAATCAATTCGAATGTAATTCCATATTGCTAATATTTATGAAATTAACAATGGTATAATAATGTGATGAATGAATATTGTCGCATGATTTGTCGTAAATTATTTGCTAATTATCATTGCTATTATAAGTTCGAAAATAAATGAAAAGTAAAGACTTTGTAACCTTTGACCTTTGTGAATTATTCCTGTGTCTTATTACATGGGAGTTCTCGTAGCTTTAAAAGTTTCATAACTGTAAATGTAAAGTTTTTCATTTCCTATTTCAATATGCATTTTGGTATCAAATTAAAATTCACATGGGACATTAACAATGATAATAAATGAAATGATGACATTCAATATTGATGTCACCAATATGCTATCATCATATCATTTCATTTAAATGAATAAGTCATACGAAGTGAAATTAAAATTTAAATAGGATGAAAAACTTGTTCCTAAAAAATATGTATGATAGTATTAAAAGTAATCATGTTATCTCATCCATTCCAATATTTCGATATTTTGAAAATATATAATTAAACAATTAATTTGTAAGAGAAAAAAAATATATAAATTACCATTATATTCTATTAAGTATTATATATATATATATATATATATATATATATATATATATATATATATATATATATATATATATAT